AACATCAAGTTGGTGTGGAAAGTGTAAAAAGAAAGAGAGGACTTTTTATCATCCATAGTGGACTTGTAAAAAAGGAAAGAAATTTAAGATGTAAATTCATTCAATGATGGAAAAGATATTAAGGACTAATAAGGTATTGAAAATGGAATTATTTCTATTGGGTTTTATGGACCCTTTACCGGAAAAGAAATATAGGAAACTAATACTGTGAATAGTAACTGTGGCATTATTCAATGCATAAAAACATTAGTAGACTGAATTATAAAATTACAGATTTCGCAGAAATTGTAAAGTTTAGCAGTTTGGTCAGGGAAAAAATGACAAAAAGTTAAGAGTGAAAGCCTTATATGGGCATTCGAAAAAAGAATGAATTTGGGATTTTGGGATTAAAGAGAGTTAAAGAAGCTGAGAAAAATGAGAGAGCAATTACTCATGTGAAGAAGGGAGAAAGTCATACTTATTTTTCACTTTTTTATTTCTCTTTTTTGTATTTTTTTTCTTTAATTGTGCTGAAAAAGTTTATTAAAATATTTTTTTAAGTAAGATAGTTTCAACAAAAACAGCCACATAGCCATATGTCAGCAAATATAAGTTTAACTAAGGGGGCATCAAATGTCTAACAGACTTAAACACAAGACTGACAAATATAAAAATGATTGTTATCACAATGCTCAAAACTTTCTAAAATCTAAATAAGGAAGGTTTGACATTAGTTTAAAATTATTGGATCAGCAGGTTGAGAGAAGGATAATTGGTTCCTTCTTTTCTTTTTCCTTCTTCCTTTTTAAAAAAAATGGTCCCTCCACAGCCTATTATTTCCTATCTTAGAAAATAAAGTACTTCCAATACCGTTGAACTAAATCAGAGCTCTTCCATGAGATAGGCTGCATGGACACAGCGCAAGGATCATAGAAGTCATGGGTACTCAAGATTTTGTCTTCAGACAACAGTAACTACTGGACGTAGTTTACACATAATTAAGCAAAAGAAGCAGAAATTGTTATCATCCCTCACCATTCCTATGCTTAGTTAGGACTATTGTGAATTGTGGTTCATGACAAATGAGGAAAGCTACAAAGTCTATCTCCTGAAATAGCTTTAAAGGTATGTGTTAGTGAATGTCTGATTTCTTCCTCCAACATTTCTCAAACTACTATTACTACTGTTCCACCACTTCAAGCATCTCAATGAGCCAGGAGCTACTCACAGACAAAAGCATATGAACTTATAATTCCTGGGTTACATGTAACATATCAAGAAATGAATTATGGACTGCTATATGGCTAGTAAACTTTAATTTAATGCTTTTAAGTGTGAAATTTTGCAGAGAACCTAGAAAGGTGCAGAACATTGAAGGTCAGTGGTAGTTTTATATATTTAATAACCCAGTTACAGACCTATTTAGTGTAATGAGTCTAGTCTGTTCATGAAAATGAAGGAATGCTTCATGTTGGTCTGAATTGTAAATCATGTGAAATCTTATTCAAAGTAATAAAGGGTGAATCTTGACCGTGATGGGGAATTTTCAAAAGTAGTTTTTGTAAATGCACTAGAAACATCTCTAAGGAGCAACAAGAATAGAATCAAACTGTTTTATGGGTGTTTTATGAATTATTTTTAATGTGAGAAGACTGAACCTAGAGCAGTGATGGCGAACTTTTTTTTAAAGGCATGCCAAAATTGTGTGCACATACCCACACCTCAATGCGCACCGCCCAGCTGTGCATGTGCACATGACCCCCCGCCTCATGCAGGAGGGGGGTGTTTTCACTCTCCCCATGCTTTGGAGGCTTCCCTGAAACCTGGGGAAGGTGAAAACAGCCTCCCCCAGAGGCCCTCTGAAGCCAGAAATGGATTGTTTTCGAACTTCTGGTTTGGCCTGTTTTTGGACCTCCCCAGGCTCTGGAGGCTTTCCTGAAGCCTTGCCCAGTCCTCCGGAAGGCTGAAAAATGCTGGAACTGATGGCTCACGTGCCAGCAAATATGACTCTGCATGCCACCTGTGGCACACATGCTATAAGTTTACCATCACAGACCTAGAGCATACTTGCACAGCTACTATCCGAGGTAAAGGTAGCTGACTATCAAAGATCTGTCTTTTTCCCAGGAGGAAGTACAGCAAATCAGTAACCTGTTATTGGAAAAAGTGGAAATTGTTTGTATTCCAGTCCACATTCTTCACAGCTGAGAAAGCTTCTACCCATACAAAAATACCTCCTTGAATGGGGGCAGCCTGCCAGTTCATTTCAGGAACAATGAATGTGGCCTGTGCTGAAGAGATCATCACCAGACTGATATGTTTCTATCAATCTTCCTTTTCCAGGTTTTGTGCTTTTAGTTATAAAGTTTTAAAAAAAGTTTTCTCCTCAACTCTAGTGCTCAACATGGGCAGAAAGTAGAAGATACTACATTTTATGTCACTTGAAAATGGAATTCATATTTCTATTAGGGCTCTTACTCTCAAGAACTCCAGAGGCAGAGGGCAAACTAGTGACCAGCACAGAGCTCTAGCAGGTTAGTAGAAAAATAACCAGGTTATGAGTAGTATCTCATAATCTGACCTACAGCAATTCATCAAGAAAGGAGTTGGGCAGGATCTAGAGATCAATGTTGCATCATTTTCTGGATCACAAGTCACTGTGTCTAGTGATTCATGCACTGGTTATCTCCCAATTGGATTGCTGCAGCTCCCTCTATACGGGGCTACCCTTAGGTGTCCAAAACTAAAACTGATACAGAATACAGTGGCATGACAGTTATGGAGGCCTGTCAGGTGCATATATGAGATCACTGCTATAAGAGATGTTGATAGTTTGCTTCGTGTCACCTTTAAAGACCTGTGTTGCTTGGGACCAGGTTAGCTGAGGGAGCATCTTTTTCCAAGAATTTCTACCAGTTCAATCCTATGCAACAGATTGACCATGCTGCAAATTCCCACCAGCCAAAGAGTGTCAACTGGTGGAAACTAGAAAATGGGCTTTTTCTGTTGTAGCCCCTGCCTTATGAAACATTCTTCCTTCAGAGATTAGAATCTGGGTTTTGGGCCATCACACCCAAGAGAATTAACCCTAACATAGGGCAGTGATGGGCAACCTTTTTGGCGTGGTGTGTCAAAAATTGGAGAAAGATCGAGCATATCTCGCGTTGTGTGTCACTTCGATAAAAACATAATTTTGTGCAATTTAT